TAATAAGAGATTAGTTTTCCTTGTTTAGTCAAATCCTAGTTTAGTTCTCAATTACTGAAATCTTTTAAAGGGATTTTTCAACATCCAATGCTTTTCCATCCAGTTTTGTTGTATTTGTATATGTTAATACTAACATAGTAGTAGTATCATATAATATTAGACACTCCCCATAGACTCCATTAATAAATCTGAATAGTTTTTTCTGTATACCTGGGTTTAGTCAAATCCTCCTTTAGTCTCTGTTACATCCTTTAGTCTTGATTTAGTTGTGGTTTGGTCCCAGTTTAGTCTAAATTTAACACTGTCTAGTCCAGGTCTAGTCTTAGTCAAGTCCTGGTCAAGTGCTGGTCAAGTGCTGGTCTTGTCTTGGTTTAGTCCTGGTATAGTCGTCCTTTAATCCTCAGTTAATCCATTAGTGACAGTTTAACTTGAGTTAGTTCCAGTTTAGTCCTAGTGTAGTCTTGGTTTAACCTTATTGTCCTGGTTTATCCTTGTTTTATATGGACCCAACCCAGGCTCAGATCTGGATGTGGGTCAAAGGTCATTAGAAGGATTTTAACATGCTGGAACTCAGAAGCAGCATTGTTCCAGCTCATTTACTTCCATCTATGCACAAAGAGACACTGTGACTCACGAGACTAGCCCAAAACAGGGCTTCACAGAAAACAAAATTACTATCACATTTGAATCTCTACTAACTGATTTTAACTTATTAGATCATGGTTTTTGGTGGTAAGTGGATGAAATGTGCAGAGTTAGTTTTTTCTAGAGAAGCCTGATATGGCAGTATGTAACAATTCTCAACAATAATTCCATATTGTACAGGTTTGATTGCTATTGAGGAGTTGCTTCCAGTAGTCCACATCAACTCAAAACCTGCTCTGTAAACATACAATAACACTTTAGAACTCATTAAAAATGTATGTAATTCCTCACGTTACTGGCCATAAGATTGCCCAGTCTGCCACTCTCACCAAGAGCCAGGCTCAGATGTGGAAAAGGGTGCCCGGTGCTAGAATGCAGTCGCCCACTTCTCCTGACAGGTTGACCCCTCAGAATTGATGCATGGATCAAATGGAAAAGAAAAAAAAAGTAAGTATGATCAAAAGTACTATTAGAAATACTTTCTATTTGCATTATGTCTCCCACAATATTGAGACTGTGATTAAATTACAATATATAGTAGGACTGCACGATATATTGTAATTTAATCACAGTCTCAATTTGAATGGTCATAATTAGCAAGTGGCAGCAGCTGCAATTATTAAAGAAACATAATTTACACAAACACATTGTATTAAGCAAAAACCATGTAGTTAACACTAGAGCCCGACCGATATATCGGTTGGCCGATATTATCGGCTGATATGGGCAACTTTAGGCATATCGGCTATCGGCCGATATGCTTGCTGATAGGGGCCGATATTTCACGTGGGCATGTTATACCTCGTTATAAAGCTTAGACTCTACATTCTGTTCATTTAATCCAATTTATAGACAGATAAATGTCCTAATATGTGGCTCCACATCAGTATTTATCTACGGAGTCATTTGTCTGTGTGTGTCCATACTGTCCCTGAACACACCACAGAGTCGCGTCACTCACGTGTGTTTGTTTACACCTGCAGACACATATCCAAACACTGAGATTATATTCTTTTTACGGACAATCGGTTTGAGTCTGGATTAAAAGGACATTTATTAGTGCAGATTTGTGATGTGAGGAGGAGCCTGTATGAGCGGTGAGTGTTGGAAATATGTCGACTTTGAAGCTAGTTTTTGTCATTTGTTATGGGTTAGCTGCTGTAGCTCCCGCACATAAACAGACTGTTTTCTATTGGTCTGTTCTAAAGTGACTATATTGGCCGTATATTTGCTACTGGACCTGCACTGATATGTAAATGAGCTGTGAATAGAGGTGTGAATTAAGACATTTGCGCATATAATTAATTACCGCGGCGCGCACGTATTTACGGCTAAAGGCTAATAGCGCTACTTTCTTTACTAGTTATGGGTCCGTCGCGAATGAAATGACTCTTAGAACCGGCTCTTTGAAGGGAACGACGGGAGCCTGATCCTTATTGGGAGCCGTGTTTTCTCTTTCTCTCACTTTTTTTCAATTCACGCCGCGTGCAGATTCGTGGTTTGACAGCGGCAGCGGCTAAAAACGAAACTTTGAGAAATTTGCGTGTACGTAGGATAAAAAAAAAAAAAAAAAAAAAAAGAGCATATTTGACTGTAGTTTAGCATAAAATAAATAAGTCCCGGTTTAGTCCTTTTTCAGTCCTGGTTTAGACCTGGTTCGGTCCTGATTCAGTCCTGCTTTAGACGTGCTTTAGACCTGCTTGCAACAAAACAATCTGAAGAGCCACTTGGGAGCCAAAAGAACCAGCAGCTTTTAGTGAGCCGAGCCAAAAGAGCCGGTTCTCTAAAAAGAACTGGAATACCCATCACTAGTGTCTAGAATGTGATGCAAAAATGCCATTAAGCCAACCTACTGTCTGTAAATATGATGTAAAGAGGCAGAATAACAATAAATGTTGCCTAAATAAACCCAATTTAAAATCCACCAGAGCCAAACCTAAGTTTTTTAAACAATTCAACATTTACAGTGAATTTTTACATCACTAAATATATCGGTGATTATATCGGCTATCGGCAGCTCCAACTCCCATTATATCGGTTTCATATCGGCCACAGCAAAATTCATATCGGTCGGGCTCTAGTTAACACCTCAACAAAAATGTTCTTAGCAGTTTAGCAATGTTTAGCAGTTGATATTTTCTCAAATGTTCAAATGTTAATGCTCCCGAACATGTTTAAAATATGACCTTTGAACTATTGAAACACAATTAGTAAATCTACTCTCAATCGCAATGCTTATCAGAAAAATCTAAATACGATTTTTTTCAACCCTACACCATACACATAACCCCTTTTTAACATTTAGGTAACAAACATCTTTTATGTTGTTTACATGCCAGCCAAGTAGATTAGTGGCGCTCCCCTAAATTTGGTATATTTTGCATTCCATAAAGGATTAATCAGCTTGATGCAGCTACACACAGTAATCGTATAGGCTTTATGGTATTTAGGCTGTTGCACATATATGATTTCTACCCATTTCAATAACACCATTGTACATAAACCAATGATTAAAATCTACTGTGTGACAATCCAATGCATTTGTCAAAATGGATCAAAACCATATAGGATTAATAGATGTGTTGCTGTTATGGGTGATCTAATAAACAGATTGCATTATGTATGAGGTTTTTACGCTATAAGGCTCAAGTTCAAAGATGCTCATTTGATTGTGTTGTTCGTCTTTTTGCGAAATGTTGCCAAACTTACCTAAACGTCCTTCAGCTAATAATAACTCTTGACCAGAATCCTTGCTCAAATCCGGAGAAGGGTCAGCTCTAGTCTGCGGCACTGCAGTCACCAATGGCTCCCAGTAGGATATGCCAGGATGTTTGTGGATGGGTCAAATACAGCTGATTTTCCTGTAGAGAGAGTAACGTACTTAGTAGAGTTGTTGAGAGTCATGGGCCCAAGACAGATAGAATTGAGGCAAAAAAAGAAGAAAAAATAGAACAGCTGCTGTTGCAAATGCCATCATCTCTTAACAACCCTATACAGCTCAAGAGGGACAACCTACCCCCTAGTTTCAAAGTAAATTCACCAAACTTAAATTAATTATGTTTTTAACATAATTTTAAAAATGATGTTAGAAGTTTGAAAGCTTGCACAGTGCTAATCACATATGTGGAAACTAATGACTAGAATAGAATCATTTTCAATTCATTATCATTTTTTTCTGAAGTAATGAAAGCATTTAGCCAAATTTTGGATTTTAAATGTGCTTTTTGGATTTAAAACATCCACTTTATGAGATTTTTAATACATACTTTTTCAATACTTCACAATGATGTGACAGAGGAATCTTCCTGGTTTCAGATCAGCGTAACTGACAGGTGGATTAGCCCATCAGGGGCACACATAAATAAACTAGATAATTTATTTGTAAATGACAGGTGACCACTGAGATCCTTCATCGTACATGCATAACTGAAGCAAACATTTGGAGGGGCTTAAGATGCAACACAGGATAAGGGGACTACACTAATATCAGTGTATTAAAAATACAGATAGCATTCTGGATTAGGAGTAGAACCAATATGGCCTGCAGTAGTCACATGTCTGGCATATTATGCCATGGGCTGCTTCTTCCTTACATGGGCATGAACATGTAGGCTACTTCATCATGTTAAGACTCGATATTGACCACACCATGCTACTTAAAAAGTTTTATCATAAAGAAATAACAGACTTACCTATTTATTATTCTATGCCAGGATGTTTGAAAGGCTCATTCAAAATGGCAAGAGAATAGGTAACTTTCACACTTACAAACCATTATTTCTTGACGTTCTGCATCATGTGTGCGTAACATTTATGCTAGTGAATTTTAATTTGCTCAGATGAAAACTGACAGCTTTCCTCTGAGAAGTGACAGGAAAACCTGAGTTCAAACCAATCTTTATAGGTCACCTTCACTTTTTCTCTTTTTTTCTGTCGGTTTTTAGTGAATTAAACGGTTATTGCCTCAGAATCCATTTGAACACATTACAAACCATCGTCGCCTCCGTGCAGCTGTTTTAGCGCACGGCAGTTCCATAAATCAACTTCCATAAAACTCGCCAAAACGCAGGACTAATCACCAAATTGAAACATGAAATGACACGCTATCATTAAAAGCCACCCTGGTGTGGTTTTTATAATCCTACAGAGACAGTGGAGCACTCATAAAAAGCCGAGGGTGAGTGCCGTAAGGCGGGGAGCACTCCGGCTAATTAAGTCGTTGAACCTGGTGCCCTTTCAAACATGTCTTCTGCTATAAGACTGGACAGCGGATTTCAACAGCCTATCAGAACTGCTCTTACGTGCACCTGGAACTACAGTAACCAATGAGAGCGTCCCATCTTATTTCGACAACCCGGAAGTTATGTTTGGACGGCTAGCTGTTACCGAAAAGGCTAAATAATCGCTGAGAAGAGCAGAAATAGTTGGTCCGTGGTGGCGTTTATGGGAATGCGGGGAGGAAGGGAGCGGGCTGGCGACTGAAAATAACAGGTAAAACGTTTTGTGAGCGTTTTGAGGGCTGTTAGCGTCATGCCGGTGGGATGAAAGGGAAAAGGCAGAGTCGTTACTGTGGCAACATTACATCTCCTCCTCTCCATCATCTGACAGCGGCCACGAGCATCTTTTCTATCAAATAAACTGAATAACACATTTTAACAATGACTTTTACAGTATTTGACTGAGATGACTCAAGCCCAGGAATAACACGCAATATTTATGTATTGTCATGATCATAATTTTGTCAAAACAATAATCGTTTCACGTGTTAGCTGTCAAGTCAACTTGACATTGAACTAGGCCACTGTTAGTAGATGATACTGACAAATTATTGTCAAAATGGGTACTATAGTTGTTGCTTTTATTTTTTTTACTTGTCTTTTTCCTGTTGCAATATATAGAATTTAGAATTGAGATGATTATTTGTGTGATGCTACCTAATTTAACTTTAAAAAATAAATCTTACCAGTATGGTTACACACACATTTATAAATTTGCTTGTCTAGATTTTTTTATTATTATTTCTTATATACATGTATACATTTATATAGGCTATACATAATAGTAATAAAACATGCATTGAACATACAAAACAACAAAAGTAGGACTAAACTGGGACTGAATGAGCATTGTTTCAGAATGTTTTAGCTTCTTCTTAGGGTATATTTTCAGGACTTTTTGCTATTCAAAAATGTAATAGTTGTTCAAACAGTAGTGGCAACAGTCCTAATTCCATACTATACTGAATCCCATAAAAAAGTAGATAAATGAATAGCATCCTTTTCACCAGCTGAACTCCTCTTTATGTGTATCTAAACATACACACACCATACCGTTGTTATGCCTGCTATAACGTATGTTTTTTGTGTTGAACAGGACCCATGACCCTGACTCGTGGATCATTCACTTACTCCAACGGAGAGGAGTATCATGGGGAATGGAAGGAAGGTACGGCTCACTTTTATCCATACATGAATACATTTCAATGCGAGGAGGCTGTAAATGTGTGATCAACTGTGGCACTGAGATTGTGGCTGATACAAACGTCTTCAGTTATACAGCGAAGGGAGCGTGTGATAGAAAAATTGGTAACATGGCAAAGTTGTTGTTTTGGAAGCAGACGAAATAATGCTCTTGAATAAATTCGTACAGTAAAAAAAAGCTGGAGTTAGAGCTGACTCAAAATGAAAAGTACAGGAACTTTTCAGTGTAACCTATCATTTATTTGCAATCACAATCACATTTATTTGATGAATTTCTGATATAATTAAGAGAAAAGTTGGGTAATGCAATTTTACTTCCTAGCATCATGGACATATCTTTGTTCATATTATGACTCATAATTGTTGCGATAATTTGTATTTAAATACAGTTGATGGTAATTATAAGTACTTTTAACTTATAATATAGATGCACCCATGTTTTATCAAAACAGCATAATAAATAAACATGACATTTTAAACATTCTGAGAATTAGCAAATGTTTTTGTCAGACAGACTGAGGAAGGCTACTGGAAGTAGCCAAAAAACATATAAAAAGCAGATAAACAAATCTGACAAAAAGAATTGCTAATAATAAAATTTTAAATTGAAGACAAAAATATGTTGTTGTAAGTTATGATTTAGTTTGCTTTCTTTGCCCTTAACTGTGCCATATGTGTTTAAGCAATTACCAAAGTTTACAACCTTATTATATATAATCATCTAAATAGATGTTATAAAATGTAATGTTAACACATATGGGATTCAATTACTGCAACTTTAAAGTATTACATGTCATAAACATCTAATTAAGTGTTTATTTTTCTAATTTTACAGAAACAAAAATTCATTGAAATGAAAAAACATCAAATAACCCAGATAATGTAGTGTACAGGGTAACATGAGGAAGAGCATCTGGCATAAATATGAAGTATGAAGAAAGTAAGGGGCAGCATCATGTATGATAAAATATAAACTGAAAAGCACATTCTGTGGGCGTAGACCCTGATGGCGAAGGGGAGGTGATTGAGTCACTGAAAAGGTTGGTTGTTTTGCTGCTGCGGTGAAGTTTGTGTGGAATAACACTGTTGTATCTGAAACTGCAAGATTACAGAAGTGGGAGAGATTGTATTTATATGAGCAAAATCCACAACCTCAGAAATAAGTTGAGTATGGAGAGTATAGCAATAAATTATGTGAAGAAATTTTAACCATTATTCACAATTATTGACACTATGACCAAACAGCAGTGAAAGCCGTAAGTTTTATCCAATGCATTACCAGTCTTCTAGTATCCCATGTAGATCAGCAGTATGACTTTTTTTTCCCTTTTTATCCATATGATTTTGCTAATTGATCAACCATTTAATCTTGACTTCTCTAGTTATTTACAATGTATGTAGATGAGTGTGGTGACATTGCTTTTCATTGTTGTGACTTAGTCTTTATAAAGTTTGACCTTAAACTTCAGCAGCTTCTGAAGTGTGGGTAAAAAAACAATAACTTTTGTCTCCTACACAACTCATCTGATTTTTGTTTATAAGAAAAGGCGCTTGTGTGAAGTGGAGGGTGGCATTGTTCAGCATATTTTATCACTTTAGATCATAATGAATAATTTAAAGATGCTACATGTGTGATTGGATTATGCTATACTGTATGTGTTGTATAGAAAATTCAACAATAAACCGATTATCAGAAATGTCTTAACTGAACTAAATGTTTAAACTTGACTTTATTACTAAGAAAAGGCCAAATCTTTTCATACTAATTTTGACATACTTTTTATATAATGGAGGGATAATTCTCAAACTATTCAGAAAAGGTTGAGTTTTATCCTATATATGTAATTGTTTTCAATATTGATACCTGTTCAAATGAGTGTTCATAGTTCACTTACTGTTGGCACAATACTAAAATTTCAAATTCAATTTTGAGAAAATACTCCATATTCAATCTTGATGTGAATACTAAATCTGTTTCAGAGAGGTCAAATTTTGTCTTGTTAATGTATTTTTTCAATATTGACACCTGTTAAATTGAGTATAGTACTGATTATAGGTAGTATCAAGTTAGTATTTGAGTATCAGCGAGCCTCATCACTACTAAACCAGGTCTAATCTGGGACTAAATCAGATCTAACCTGGGGCTAAACTAGGTCTAACCCAGGACTAAACCAGATCTAACCCAGGACTAAACAAGATCTAAATCTGTTTAATCAGTTTAAGTCTAAAACAGGTTTATCTTAGGACTAACCCAAGTCTAATTTAGGACTAAACTCATGCTAAATCAGGCCTAACTAAGGACGTAAACCAGGTCTATCTCAGGACTAAATGAAGTCTAATTTGGGATTAAAATGAAATGGCACGAAGTTCTTTACCTTGAGGTAAACCATGTTCTACAGAGCACTTAATGCTTTTTTCAATGGAATAAATCACCCTTCTATTGTAATGTGTGTATAAAGGCCATTATTGTATATTATATATATATATCATATTATATATGAATGTATATTGTGCTATGTTTACCGTAGTCTTTTTTATCATACAAATGCAGTTTTTCATTCACTGTAGCTCTTTGCTCGTGGCTACCTCGATCTTTGACTACAAGTTAAAGTTTTCTACAATCGCTGTCGGCAACAAAAGTGACTCATGCTGAACTTCTATTCAACAAAACTTTTTTCTTTTTTGTTTTCATTTCTTATTTTCACCTTATTTCAAACGCAGAGAGATGCTATTAGCACCTGATTTACAGAAACATGCAATATAAAAGGTGTGACAGGTGATTTCATGAGAGACTATGTTAAAGACCCTTAGCAGCGGAGAGCCAGTGGGAGTGACAATCTGTTTAAAACCAGCCTATTCTTTTGAAACAGATTGTGTTTAATGAACTAATATGCAGAAAGATGCGGCAAAGTCATGAAGCAAAAGCAGGGACCATATGCTTCACCGCACAAAAGAAATCTCACTTCTCAGTCAACAATCAAGAGGAGAATTGAGCAGAAACACCAGGTTTGGCTCAAATACTATTGCTCAGACATATGGAACAACAGTAAGTGGAGTAAGATGCTGGATTTTAACAATAGGTGGATTGTTTTGAAGCATTTTGACTTAATAATGGAAAGCACTTTAGAGGTAACATCTAAAGTCAAATGAAATCCTTTGTACTGTATCTTAAAGGCTAGGATTGCACTTTTTTTTTTTTTTTAAACCTAATTGCTTTTTTCCTAACAAGTATTTTGCCTTGTACATCCAAAATAATATCTCCCTCCCCACTCCCTCTGTCATACCTCAAGCCAGAACTAAGCATGAATGTGCAATCACATTTGTTTATTTCAGTGACTCATGTTACACGAAATAGGTCATTGGTCAATGTTCACCTATCACTTACAACAAAATAAAATTTATCTCACTTCTGACTATTAGAGTTTAGTGCTTCACTCACTGATTTTTCAGAAATATTGTATTGTATGATATTGGTTCAGCTGATATCTTTTAATTAAATGTAATAAGACTGAGATTTTGGCTTAGGTTTGAATTTTTATTCATACAAACCTGATGAATATTGAGTTAAAGGAAAAATGACAGAAGTCTGTGTTTTAAGAAAATAAGTGCCATTTTCTGTCCCTACACTAGTATCAGTTAATATCAGGTATCAGCAGGTACTTGAAGTCAAAGTCTCAGTATCGAAACCCAAAAAGATGGATCAGGGCATCCCTATTGTTTTTCAGTCCACTTTGATTGTTTCCTTTCTTTTCATTCTCATGAACAACCATATTTGTTTTGATGGACAGGGCATTCATGATACTGATTGGCTAATCCACCTGTCACTCATGCCCATCTGAACTCAGGGAGATTTACCAGTGGTCAGACTCACATTTTTGTAAGGTATTGGAGAAGTGTGTATTCTGGATCCCAGGTAAACAAATGACATAGGTTTACAAAAATATATAGTGAGTAGTGTTATAAAAAAAAAAAAAAAAAAAAAGTTTCAACTACAAGAAAAACACATACTTTTCTCTTCCATACTTAACTCTGGTTGGTTAGCATTAGCAACATCACAGCTATTCATTATAACAACACTTTTGAAAGCCGTAAAACGTGAATACAAATTACCCACATGGTTACATTAGTGATAGGTGTTAAAGTGGTTTGGCTGTGATCCACTGGAGATTTGGCTCTATTTTTACCTCCTGGAGCTGAACTCAGATGAGAAAATGAGTGATCGGTGTGAGTGAGAAACAGAGCACTTTAATTAAATCCTCCTGAAGTCAAACGCTAAAACAAACGCTCAGAATGTCACAGTTATTCTGGACCTGCACTTTATTCATACCTTTATCAGCGGTTGCTAACCTTTTCCCTAAGACTTACTTTTATGAAAATGGCTCTTCTGCTTTGTGACATTTATTTAGTCCTTTATGAAATTGCAGGCAGGACACTGCTTCATTTTGATTTATTTTCTTACATTTTAGGACACCAGTAGCATGAAATGGGGAGAGAGAGCAGAGACATTTGGTGACAAAAAGGCTGTAATTGGAAGGCAACACAACCACCTATCAATCGCATATGTGCAAAAAGTTAAACCACTGGAGTGTGTGTAGTGCAGCAGTAAAAAAAAAAAAAAAATCAAATAGTAATGAAATTAGACTTTGAAATTCAGGATTTCAAATGAGTATTCAGTTCATAGTGTCATTTTAAATTCATTTGTTAACGTTTGAGAGTAAACATGGTAAACTAGCCTGTACGGTTTGCCATGTTTCCCCATATAAAGATATTTTGGATTTTAAAGTCCTATATTGGTATGCAGAATTGACTCTTGTGAGCTTTTAGTCATGTTAGAATGTTGTTACCTCTTCAACAACATAACAGGTTTTGTGTTTTGTTTAATTCACACACGTTTGAGTAATTTTGTCTTGTGTGCTCAAAATGCTCTGTTCCACCTTGTGATGTCATCAGTGGCGGTTGGTCAAT